TTATGTGCTGTCTCGTAAGTCTAGAGGCTGTGAAGCTTAGTTATTCAGAAGTGAGATGGTAATCGAAAATTGTCATAGACGGACAAAAATCCTGTTCATAGCTGTTCACTTTTTTTGGATTCCCCAGATTTTATCCTAGGCCATCGAAAAACATTGCCCAAAATTCTCGGTCTGAGCTCCTCAACTCTTAAAACAATTGAAAAATTTTAATTATATATATATATATATTATATATATTTTTCGGGAAATACTACACAATTCTATAGAATAAATAAGAAATAAATCGATATACTGATATCGATCTAGATATCTGTAAATTGACATATCGGTAAGGATGAATCGATATATTAACATCGACACATTTAAATCGATCAATCTATCCGCACGATAAAATCTATATTAAGTTAATGTTGAAGAAATTATCTGCCATAAGACCCGCCCACAAATGTGTATTAACCAGTAGGAAGAAGAAATTGATTCTGTGTTATAGCAACTTGTTGAAAGAGTAAATAATGTATCCGTTTCGTTTTCTTCAGGAATCATGATCAAATTGCCGTACGCCATTGTGGTGATTTTACTGACCTACTTTATAGTAGCTGATGCTGAGTGCAACGTTGAGCCAGTGAAGGACATTAATTTGGATATGGATAAGGTGAGTTTAGAGGAGTAAAATGTTAATCAGGTCTGTACCCCAAGAAGTTAATAATTATTCATTTAATTAATGACTGGTTAACTGGTCTGTTAAATGACATGTGCTAGGTTTAGAGGCAATCTTTCATGGTTCCATAGTTTAAGGCATATTTATTCTAGTATCTGGGAACTTGGTGCTGGGTCTTCCACACACCCAGTGACGTGGACAAGAACGCCGGCTGCATTAAGGAAATTGCCCAGAAATTCAATGAATCGACCATCGTCGTGCCCACAGCATTTTACGATGAGAGGTACCTACAGAGTTTTTACCTTTTCCAAATTCTTTTGATGAGGTGACCCCTGGAGAGACCTAGACGTAGATGGGAGGATAATCTCAGGCGGGATCTATGAGAGATAGGAGTTGAAGGAGACTGGATTTTGTTGGCCCAGGACAGAGCTTTGGTTAATTCGGTGATGAACCTTCGGGTTCCGTAAGCCATCTGGTTGGTTGGATCCACTATTTGGGAAGCCTGAGGGGAAGAGACCTCTGGAGAGACCTAGACGTAGATGGGAGGATAATCTCAGGCGGGATCTATGAGAGATAGGAGTTGAAGGAGACTGGATTTTGTTGGCCCAGGACAGAGCTTTGGTTAATTCGGTGATGAACCTTCGGGTTCCGTAAGCCATCTGGTTGGTTGGATCCACTATTTGGGAAGCCTGAGGGGAAGAGACCTCTGGAGAGACCTAGACGTAGATGGGAGGATAATCTCAGGCGGGATCTATGAGAGATAGGAGTTGAAGGAGACTGGATTTTGTTGGCCCAGGACAGAGCTTTGGTTAATTCGGTGATGAACCTTCGGGTTCCGTAAGCCATCTGGTTGGTTGGATCCACTATTTGGGAAGCCTGAGGGGAAGAGACCTCTGGAGAGACCTAGACGTAGATGGGAGGATAATCTCAGGCGGGATCTATGAGAGATAGGAGTTGAAGGAGACTGGATTTTGTTGGCCCAGGACAGAGCTTTGGTTAATTCGGTGATGAACCTTCGGGTTCCGTAAGCCATCTGGTTGGTTGGATCCACTATTTGGGAAGCCTGAGGGGAAGAGACCTCTGGAGAGACCTAGACGTAGATGGGAGGATAATCTCAGGCGGGATCTATGAGAGATAGGAGTTGAAGGAGACTGGATTTTGTTGGCCCAGGACAGAGCTTTGGTTAATTCGGTGATGAACCTTCGGGTTCCGTAAGCCATCTGGTTGGTTGGATCCACTATTTGGGAAGCCTGAGGGGAAGAGACCTCTGGAGAGACCTAGACGTAGATGGGAGGATAATCTCAGGCGGGATCTATGAGAGATAGGAGTTGAAGGAGACTGGATTTTGTTGGCCCAGGACAGAGCTTTGGTTAATTCGGTGATGAACCTTCGGGTTCCGTAAGCCATCTGGTTGGTTGGATCCACTATTTGGGAAGCCTGAGGGGAAGAGACCTCTGGAGAGACCTAGACGTAGATGGGAGGATAATCTCAGGCGGGATCTATGAGAGATAGGAGTTGAAGGAGACTGGATTTTGTTGGCCCAGGACAGAGCTTTGGTTAATTCGGTGATGAACCTTCGGGTTCCGTAAGCCATCTGGTTGGTTGGATCCACTATTTGGGAAGCCTGAGGGGAAGAGACCTCTGGAGAGACCTAGACGTAGATGGGAGGATAATCTCAGGCGGGATCTATGAGAGATAGGAGTTGAAGGAGACTGGATTTTGTTGGCCCAGGACAGAGCTTTGGTTAATTCGGTGATGAACCTTCGGGTTCCGTAAGCCATCTGGTTGGTTGGATCCACTATTTGGGAAGCCTGAGGGGAAGAGACCTCTGGAGAGACCTAGACGTAGATGGGAGGATAATCTCAGGCGGGATCTATGAGAGATAGGAGTTGAAGGAGACTGGATTTTGTTGGCCCAGGACAGAGCTTTGGTTAATTCGGTGATGAACCTTCGGGTTCCGTAAGCCATCTGGTTGGTTGGATCCACTATTTGGGAAGCCTGAGGGGAAGAGACCTCTGGAGAGACCTAGACGTAGATGGGAGGATAATCTCAGGCGGGATCTATGAGAGATAGGAGTTGAAGGAGACTGGATTTTGTTGGCCCAGGACAGAGCTTTGGTTAATTCGGTGATGAACCTTCGGGTTCCGTAAGCCATCTGGTTGGTTGGATCCACTATTTGGGAAGCCTGAGGGGAAGAGACCTCTGGAGAGACCTAGACGTAGATGGGAGGATAATCTCAGGCGGGATCTATGAGAGATAGGAGTTGAAGGAGACTGGATTTTGTTGGCCCAGGACAGAGCTTTGGTTAATTCGGTGATGAATCTTCGGCTTCGGTAAGCCATCTAGGTAGTTAGTTTGATGAGGTGAATGCGTAACGTCGAGGTCATTCCCGTCCGTCAGCAGGTTTCATCTCTAGAACGACTTATCGATTTAGCTTTATTATGGTACGAGGTTTCCACGGTAAAATGTATGGGGAATACTTACTTTGGCCCGTATCTTTGAAATATAAAAATAAGATATAGTAATTGAAATTTTGTGATTCTACTGTATTTGAAACATTATTCGTGGCTTAAAGTTATTATTTTGCGTACTGTTGAGACACGGGCATAGTTTTTATTCATACAACGATGAGATATATCCTAATTTTAACTCTTCCGTAGGCAATGTCCCTTTCACAGAGTTTACATAAGGGCATTCATGTTTTTATCTTTTAAGCCCTATTTGACGAAACGAAGACCACGCCTAAGAACTAGGGAAATAACGTCAGGGCTCAGGAGCGTAAAACTGCTTTCATAACTTACTGTCAATAAGTCGAGATCAAATAGTTAGGATCAGCAGTGTCGATTAAAGTCGTGTGTAACGTTTAACAGTATCCAAGAAATAAATAAGCTTACCATTAAAACCTGTCCATTATGTAAAATTAAAAAGATACAATTGTACTGTGTTGAGTTTACCATGTTATCAAAAAACTTTTCAGAATTATCAAGTTAATTTCCATTACTGATTAAGGCTTCGACCGGGATGTTCTTTTGTTAAATCTTACGTGGTACCACCTGATTCGACTTCTAATGGTTAAGTGAAGTGTTTTCTTCGCGGTACGGTCTGGATTCGTAAATATTATGAAGACGAGCTTCGGCTTCAAAGGGTTAACCAGCTGATTTTCGTAATGGTGAGGTGTAGTGTTTTCTTCGCGGTACGGACTGAATTCATAAATAATATTCAGACGATCTTCGGCTTCAAATGGTTAAGGGAGGCTGTATTTTCACATCCTCGGTCATAGTGCCTTTTCTTCTTAGGAATTCAAACTAATCGTTGATTTCCAGCAGCATGCATCGTGTGCACGTACAAAACAAACACTGGTTCTCTAAATCAGTCGGTCGAAGGTTTAACTTGGACCCGCTCTCGTCTGCTGCTTGGCGTCGTATCACTTGCTTTACGATATCCGAAAAATCTAGTGCCGAGGTCAAGGAAGAGAGGAGCTATACCTCCTCTCACCCCAAGCGCCTACATGGCGTATAGTGGGACAAACTTTTACTTTTTACTGCAAAATAGTATTCCTTTATTATAACTAGAATGCATAGTGAAATTCTAAAATTTCTCCTAAAACCATTGTGCCATATGGCGTCACTAGAGATTTATGTGAATGAAATAAAACGTGTTTTATGTTTCATTTACAGAACAAAACAAATCAAGATCTTCCAGGGCTCTATATACTCTTGGAACAGCACGAGTTTTACTGAAACCCTGAACGGTAACTATTTGTTCTGTCATTATTAACATTATTAACTCCTTCAATATATGGCTGTTTTTTTTTG